ATTCATACGGCTACGGGCTGTTGGACGCGGGTGCTATGGTGACCCTGGCCCAGAACTGGACGACGGTGCCCCCCCAGCGGAAATGCATCATCGACATCCTCACTGAACCCAAGTGAGGCCTGGCCCGGGGCTGGTGCCGGGGCGGCGGAGGGGGGGGGGCCGGGGTGTCGGGGGGGGTCAGGCCGGCAGACTGTCCCTGCTGTCTGCACAGGGACATCGGGAAGCGGCTGGAGGTGCGGAAGACGGTGACCGCCTGCCTGGGGGAGCCCAGCCACATCACACGGCTAGAGCACGCGCAGGCCCGCCTCACCCTGTCCTACAATCGCCGTGGCGACCTGGCCATCCACCTGGTCAGCCCCATGGGCACCCGCTCCACCTTGCTGGCCGCCAGGTGCCTGCCCTCTCCCCTGCCCAGCTTGTCCCGTTCCTCACACTCGCACACGTTCACCCTCCTGGACTTGTCACAGGGTCTTAGTGGCCACCAGGTTCTTCTCGGTGTGGGTTGGCACTTGAGGAGGGATGGTTCTGTCCTAAGGGACTGTCCCGCATCGAAGGAATCCCTGGCCTCTAGTCGTTACCTGCCAGTAGCGTGCCTTCCCGTGTGTAGCAAGCACCTTGCACGTTTCCACCAGTCTTCTGGCAGAGAACATCTGGCCTACTGGCAAACAACAGCCACAGGCATTTCCGGTCCAGTGGGGTTGGCACTGCACTGGGGGAGGGTGTGTGGTCCACGTGTTGTGGCCTTGGTGTCCCCTGGCCGGGGTCTCCCGGAGGCCTCCAACAGCCATGGGCACCCTTCTCCCGCAGGCCCCACGACTACTCCGCAGATGGGTTTAACGACTGGGCCTTCATGACAACCCATTCCTGGGATGAGGACCCCTCTGGCGAGTGGGTCCTGGAGATTGAAAACACCAGCGAAGCCAACAACTACGGTACTGGGGATGTTTGAGGACTGAGGGGGCAGCAGAGACGGGAGCCGGCGGGCCCTGGGATCCCAGGAGCGGTGCCAGTGCTCCCTAACTCTTGCCTCCTCCCCCACCCCGGGACAGGGACACTGACCAAGTTCACCCTCGTGCTGTATGGCACGGCCCCCGAGGGGTCGCACCCGCCTCCCGAGAGCAGCGGCTGCAAGACCCTCACGACCAGCCAGGCCTGTGTGGGTCAGTAGTGGTTGCTGCTGGGGTCTGGGGGCCTGGGGTTTGGGGGGGTGGGTGCGCACAGAGGGGACCTGTGCTGACGCCCGGGGCTAGGAGGAAAGGGGGTTTGAAGAGACCTCGGGGCGGCCGCGGTTACGGGGCTGGAGGCCGCTGGGGGCCGCCACGCCTCCTGAGCTGACGCGCACCTCCTCCCCCACGCCGGCAGTCTGTGAGGAGGGCTTCTCCCTGCTCCAGAAGAGCTGCGTGCAGCGCTGCCCGCCCGGCTTCACCCCCCAAGTCCTCGAGACTCACTACAGCACGGACAACGACGTGGAGATCATCCGGGCCAGCGTCTGCGCCCCCTGCCACAGCTCGTGCGCCACGTGCCAGGGGCTGGCCCCCACAGACTGCCTCAGCTGCCCCAGCCACGCCTCCCTGGACCCCGTGGAGCAGACGTGCTCCCGGCAGAGCCAGAGCAGCCGCGAGTCGCCCCAGCAGCGGCCCCCGCCGCCGCCGCCGCCCGCCGAGGTGGACACGGAGCCCCGGCCGCGCGCAGGGCTGCCGCCCTCACACCTGCCCGAGGTGGTGGCCGGCCTCAGCTGCGCCTTCATCGTGCTGGTCTTCGTCACTGTCTTCCTGGTCCTGCAGCTGCGCTCCGGCTTCAGCTTCCGGGGGGTGAAGGTGTACACCATGGACCGCGGCCTCATCTCCTACAAGGGGCTGCCCCCCGAAGCCTGGCAGGAAGAGTGCCCATCCGACTCAGAAGAGGACGAGGGCCGGGGCGAGAGGACCGCCTTTATCAAAGACCAGAGCGCCCTTTGACGAGCGCCTACTGCCTGCCCCTTCAAGCCCATCCCCTCCTTGGGCACTTTTTAATTCACCAAAGTATTTTTTTATCTTGGGACTGGGTTTGGACCCCAGCTGGGAGGCAAGAGGGGCAGAGACTGCTTCCCACCCTACCTTCGGGCCACCTGGCTGCCTGAGGTGGGGCCCCAGGACCAGCTGGGGAGCCGGGGAGGGCCTCACCCCCACCTCCAGCACCCCTTCCGTGTGGAGAAAGGAGTGGAACCTCTAGGGCAGCTTTCCAAGGTCCAGGCCCCAGCCGGGGTTTTCTGCGGAGTGAAGAGGGTCAGCCCTTCTCTTTGGGGATTCCTGACCCGGGCTGCAGCTCTCTCCCTACCCTGTTCCCTCTAAAGCAATAACGGTCCCCATCCAGGCAGCAGGGAGGCTGGCCTAGGGGGTATTTGAAGGAGGAGGCCACCTCTCCAAGGGCTTTTGTATCCCCGACCTTGTCCCCCACGTCTGGTGAGCCTCTTGAGGAAGTGGCGATCAAAGGAAGCGACCAAGGCAAGGCAGGTGCTTTAGGGTGGGCCCGTGAGCACACGCGCGCGTGTGTGTCCCCTTGCCCACCTCCACCACCACTGGCTGCCCGCCGAGCCCCGTGCTGGTGTCCTGACCACCCTACCTTTTCGGGCCCCCTCCCCTCCCCTCTCCTCCCCTCCCCTCCCGCCAGGGCCCAAGTCCCTGTTTTCTGAGCCCGGGGCTGCCTGGGCTGTTGGCACTCACAGTCCCGGAGCCCCTGGGTGGGTGGTGGGGAGGGACGGTGGCCCAGCCAGCCTCTCCCGCCTCCCACCCGATGCTGCTTTCCCCTGTGGGGATCTCAGGGGCTGTTTGAGGATATATTTTCACTTTGTGATTATTTCACTTTAGATGCTGATTTTGGGTTTTTTTGGGTTTTTTTGTTTTTTTGTATTTGTAATGGGGGTAGCAGCTGGACCACCCACCTTCCCACACCCACTGTCCATTCTGCTGTTCCCCCGGCTACGCTGGCCCTGAGGTGCGGGGGGCTGCAGCATGTTGCTGAGGAATGAGGAGGAGTTGAGCCCCAAGTCCTGAAGAGGCAGGCGGGCAAGCCAGGTGGGCCCTAGGAAAGGGGATCGTGGTGGGAGGGGCAGGCTGTCATCCGTGTTTCAGATGGGGCTCATCGTGCCAAGGGCTCATGGGTCACTGGTTCTCCAAGTGCCAGGGGCGGCCAGGTGGTGGCACTGAGCCCCCTCCAACACTGTGCCCTTGTGGAGAAAGCACTGACCTGTTCTGCCCCCTTAAGTCCCCCTCTTCTGACGTGCCTTTCGCACCCCTCCCATTAGGACAATCAGTCCCCTCCCATCTGGGAGCCCTCTTTTCTTTCTCTCCCCTAGCCCTTCCTGGCACCCAGCCACCTGCCCAGGGGTGTCCCCTCCTCTCCCATCCCCCCACCCTTGTGGCCAGCCTGGCTGATTTTGTAAGATACTGGGTTGGTGCCCAGTGATTTTTTTTTTTTTCTTGTAATTTAAACAGGCCCAGCATTGTTGGTTCTATTTAATGGACACGAGATAATGTTAGAGGTTTTAAAGTGATTAAACGTGCAGACTATGCAAACCAGGCCTGGTCTCCAGCGTGGTGATGTTGTTCTTCCTAGGGCCCTGGGACTGCATCCGGGATGGGGGCGGGGATTGGGGCCAGTTGATGTCCTGCTTGCCTCTAGGTGGGCCCAAGTCAGGACTCCAAAGGCCGTCTCCCACGGAGTTCCAGGGCCTCCCTGGGGGAGCAGTGGGCTGTGGAAGGAGGCAGCAGCTGGGGACAAGCCCCAGGCTGTGGGACATGGGAGCCCCAAGAGTAGGACAAGCGGAGGGCTTGCACCCCCACAGGCCTGGTCTCCAGCAGGGTGGTTCCCCCCCCCCCCCCCTTTGCTCAGGATCTCCCTTGGCTGTAGGGCTGAGGTCTATGGTGGAGCCGGACTGAACCAAGATAGATGGTTTTTGCTGGCCGGTTGTCCAGTCTGGAAACTCCATACCTGTCCACTCCCCTATCCCAGCCATGCCCCCCTCCCCTGGCTTCCCTTGGGACAGGAAGCCCCTGCCTCGGGTAGGGGAGTGGTGGCCGGTTCCCCAGGACCTGCGCCTGAGAAGGAGGCCTCTCTTCGGGGATATTTACTTGGAAATTTTATTCAAATGTTGGCTGGCGCCTGAGCTCTCCTAGGGGAATCCGATGGGGTGGGGAGGCCTGGAGCAGGCTTCCCCCTTCCCCTTCTGGGCCGCCCGGGCCGGGCGCCAGGCCCCCACCGCGCGGCGGCCGCTTCCCCGCGCTCCCGGG